TAGTACACTAGTACACTCACCACTACACTCACCACTACACTCACCACTACACTCACCAACAGCAGCAACAGCAGCAATGGTGAGGAGCTCACCACCACTCACCACTAGTACACTCACCACTACACTCACCACTACACTCACCACTAGTACACTCACCACTACACTCACCACTAGTACACTCACCACTACACTCACCACTAGTACACTCACCACTAGTACACTAGTACACTCACCACTAGTACACTCACCACTAGTACACTAGTACACTCACCACTAGTACACTCACCACTAGTACACTCACCACTACACTCACCACTAGTACACTCACCAGTACACTCACCACTACACTCACCACTAGTACACTAGTACACTCACCACTACACTCACCACTACACTCACCACTAGTACACTAGTACACTCACCACTACACTCACCACTAGTACACTAGTACACTCACCACTACACTCACCACTAGTACACTAGTACACTAGTACACTACTCACCACTAGTACACTAGTACACTCACCACTACACTCACCACTAGTACACTAGTACACTAGTACACTAGTACACTCACCACTACACTCACCAACAGCAGCAGCAACAACAATGGTGAGGAGCTCACCAACACTCACCACTCTCACTAGTACACTAGTACACTCACCACTACACTCACCACTAGTACACTAGTACACTCACTACTACCACTAGTACACTCACCACTCACCACCACTACTACACCACACTCACCACTACACTCACCACTAGTACACTCACTACTACACCACTACACTCACCACCACTCACCACCACTCACCACTACTCACCACTACACCACTACACCCACCACTACTCACTAGTACACCACCACTCACCACCACTACTACACTCACCACTACCACTACACTCACCACAACAGTATGAGTGGGTGAGTGAGTGGGTGAGTGGGTGGGTGAGTGAGTGGGTGAGTGGGTGAGTGGGTGAGTGGGTGGGTGGGTGAGTGAGTGGGTGGGTGAGTGAGTGGGTGGGTGAGTGGGTGGGTGGGTGAGTGGGTGAGTGGGTGGGTGGGTGAGTGGGTGGGTGGGTGAGTGAGTGGGTGGGTGAGTGAGGTGAGTGAGTGGGTGAGTGAGTGGGTGGGTCAGTGAGTGAGTGGGTGAGTGAGTGACTGGGTGGGTGAGTGAGTGGGTGAGTGAGTGAGTGTATTATGCATCGGCAAGGGGACCTCTGTATATATATATCTGTGTGTGTATGTGTGACTGTGTGTATGTGACTGTGTGTGTGTGACTGTGTGTGTATGTATGTGACTGTGTGACTGTGTGTGTGTGTATGTATGTGACTGTGTGTGTGTGACTGTGTCTGTCTGTGTGTATGTGTGACTGTGTCTGTCTGTGTGTATGTGTGACTGTGTGTGTGTGACTGTGTGTATAACTGTGTGACTGTGTGTGTATGTATGTATGTGACTGTGTGTGTGTGACTGTGTCTGTCTGTGTGTATGTGTGACTGTGTGTGTGTGTGTATGTGTGACTGTGTGTATAACTGTGTGTATGTGTGACTGTGTGTCTGTGTGTATGTGTGACTGTGTGTGTGTGTGACTGTGTGTATGTGACTGTGTGTGTATGTATGTGACTGTGTGTATGTATGTATGTGACTGTGTGTGTGTGACTGTGTCTGTCTGTGTGTATGTGTGACTGTGTGTGTGTGACTGTGTGTGTGTGACTGTGTGACTGTGTGTATGTATGTATGTGACTGTGTGTGTGTGACTGTGTCTGTCTGTGTGTGTGTGACTGTGTGTGTGCAGGGTGTGTGTCGCCGTGGCGGCTGAGCTCCACTCCGCCGCCCTCGGCCCTCGACTGCCGCCAGTGCTGCCTCTGCCTCGAGTGCGGAGACCTGCAGCCCGACGTGCGTGCACTGTACACCGCACTGTACACCGCACTGTACACCACACCGCACACCGCACTGTACACCGCACTGTACACCGCACTGTACACAGCATTGTACACAGCTCTGTACACCACACTACACCACACTGTACACAGCACTCATCACTGTACACAGAACTGTACACCGCACGCCGCATTTTGTATCTGTGTGTGTCTGTGTGTGTATCTGTGTGTGTGTGTCTGTGTGTGTCTGTGTGTGTGTATCTGTGTGTGTCTGTGTGTGTGTGTGTGTGTATCTGTGTGTGTCTGTGTGTGTCTGTGTGTGTGTATCTGTGTGTGTGTATCTGTGTGTGTCTGTGTGTGTGTGTGTCTGTGTGTGTCTGTGTGTGTGTGTGTATCTGTGTGTGTGTGTGTGTATCTGTGTGTGTGTGTCTGTGTGTGTGTGTATCTGTGTGTGTGTGTCTGTGTGTGTCTGTGTGACTCTCTGTGTGTGTAAGAGGCAGGCAGGCTGTTGTACGCTGGACAGAACGAGCGGCTGGACGTGAACTGTGCGCTCTGTGTGTGTGTCTGTGTGTGTCTGTGTGTGTCTGTGTGTGTCTGTGTGTGTGTGTGACTACAGGAGGCAGGCAGGCTGTTGTACGCAGGACAGAACGAGTGGCTGCACGTGAACTGTGCTCTCTGTGTGTGTGTGTCTGTGTGTGTGTGACTGTGTGTGTCTGTGTGTCTGTGTGACTGTGTGTGTCTGTGTGTCTGTGTGTGTGTGACTGTGTGTGTCTGTGTGTCTGTGTGTGTGTGACTGTGTGTGTCTGTGTGTGTCTGTGTGTGTGTATCTGTGTGTGTGTGTCTCTGTGTGTGTCTGTGTGTATCTATGTAGGAGGCAGGCAGGCTACTCTACGCAGGACAGAACGAGTGGTTGCACGTGAACTGTGCGCTCTGTGTGTGTCTGTGTGTGTGACTGTGTGTGTGTGTGACTGTGTGTGTGTGTGTGTGTCTCTGTGTGTCTGTGTGTCTGTGTAGGAGGCAGGCAGGCTACTCTACGCAGGACAGAACGAGTGGCTGCACGTGAACTGTGCTCTCTGTGTGTGTGTGTGTCTGTGTGTATCTGTGTGTGTGTCTCTGTGTGTCTGTGTGTGTGACTACAGGAGGCAGGCAGGCTGTTGTATGCGGGACAGAACGAGTGGCTGCACGTGAACTGTGCTCTCTGTGTGTGTGTGTGTATCTGTGTGTGTCTGTGTGTGTGTGTCTGTGTGTGACTGTGTGTGTGACTACAGGAGGCAGGCAGGCTGCTGTACGCAGGACAGAACGAGTGGCTGCACGTGAACTGTGCGCTCTGTGTGTGTCTGTGTGTGTGTGTGTCTGTGTGTGTGTGTGTGACTGTGTGTGTGTGTGTGTGTCTATGTGTGTGTGTAGGAGGCAGGCAGGCTGTTGTACGCAGGACAGAACGAGTGGCTGCACGTGAACTGTGCTCTCTGTGTGTGTGTGTATCTGTGTGTGTCTGTGTGTGTGTGTCTGTGTGTGACTGTGTGTGTGACTACAGGAGGCAGGCAGGCTGCTGTACGCAGGACAGAACGAGTGGCTGCACGTGAACTGTGCTCTCTGTGTGTGTGTGTGTATCTGTGTGTGTCTGTGTGTGTGTGTCTGTGTGTGACTGTGTGTGTGACTACAGGAGGCAGGCAGGCTGTTGTACGCAGGACAGAACGAGTGGCTGCACGTGAACTGTGCACTCTGTGTGTGTGTGTCTCTGTGTGTGTGTGTGTGACTGTGTGTGTGTGTCTATGTGTGTGTGTAGGAGGCAGGCAGGCTGTTGTATGCAGGACAGAACGAGTGGCTGCACGTGAACTGTGCTCTCTGGTCCGCTGAGGTGGTGGAGGAAGCGGGCGGAGCGCTGAGGAACGTCCACGCTGCCATCGCTCGCGGGAAACTCATGGTGACTATACTACATACTACTCTACTACATTACATTATATACTACACTACACACTACACTACACACTACACTACATACTACACTACATTATATACTACACTACTACACTACATTACATTATATACTATACACTACATTACATTATACATTACACTACACACTACACTACACACTACACTACATACTACTACACTACATTACATTATACACTACACTACACACTACACTACATTATATACTACACTACTACACTACATACTACACTACTACTATACATTATACACTACACTGCACACTACACTACATACTATACACTACATTACATTATATACTATACACTACATTACATTATACACTACACTACACACTACACTACATACTGCACTACATTATATACTACACTACTACACTACATAATACACTACTACTATACATTATACACTACACTGCACACTACACTACATACTATACACTACACTATACACTACACTATACACTACTATACACTACACACTACACTACACACTACACTACATACTACACTACATTATATACTACACTACTACACTACATACTACACTACTACTATACATTATACACTACACTGCACACTACACTACATACTATACACTATACACTACACTATACACTACTATACATTATACACTATATACTACACTACATATTACACTATATACTACACTACTCTACACTACACTATACACTACTATACATTATACACTATATACTACACTATACACTACACTATATTATACACTATATACTACACTACATTATACACTACACTACATTATATACTACATTACTACTATACAATACACTATATACTACACTACTACACTACATACAACACTATACTACACTATATACTATACACTACACTACATTATACACTACAAGCTCATGGTGACTATACACTACACTATACACTACACTACATTATACACTACACTATACAATACACTACACTATATACTACACTATACACTACACTATATACTACACTATATACTACACTATACACTACACTATACACTACACTATACACTACACTATACACTACACTAGACACTACACTAGACACTACACTATACACTACACTAGACACTACACTATACACTACACTATACACTACACTATACACTACACTATACACTACACTAGACACTATACACTACACTATACACTACACTATACACTACACTATACACTACACTAGACACTACACTATACACTACACTATACACTACACTATACACTACACTAGACACTACACTAGACACTACACTAGACACTACACTAGACACTACACTATACACTACACTATACACTACACTAGACACTACACTAGACACTACACTATACACTACACTATACACTACACTATACACTACACTATACACTACACTATACACTACACTATACACTACACTAGACACTACACTAGACACTACACTATACACTACACTAGACACTACACTATACACTACACTATACACTACACTATACACTACACTATACACTACACTAGACACTACACTATACACTACACTAGACACTACACTATACACTACACTAGACACTACACTAGACACTACGATCAGTGTGAAAGTCTCTCTAACCACCCCCCCACCCTCCCCCCCCCGTGACCCCCCCCGTGACCCCCCCTGTGACCCCCCGTGACCCCCCGTGACCCCCCCCGTGACCCCCCCGTGACCCCCCCGTGACCCCCCCGTAGCGCTGTGAGCTTTGTCAGAAGCAGGGTGCCACCGTGGGTTGCTTCCTGACGGCGTGTGCCAGCAACTTCCACTACATGTGTGCACGTCGCGCCCAGTGCTGCTTCCAGCAGGACAAGCAGGTGTTCTGTACCCGGCACGCCTCGCTCGTGACCACGCGGGTGAGACACACACACACAGACACACACACAGACACACACACACAGAGACACAGACACACACACAGACACACACACACAGACACACACACAGACACACAGACACACACACAGACACACACACACACACACAGAGACACACACAGACACACAGAGACACACACAGACACACACAGACACACACAGAGGAGACACACACAGGCTGACAGACACACAGAGACACACAGAGACACACACAGACACACACAGACACACACAGACACACAGAGACACACACAGACACACAGAGACACACACAGACACACACAGACACACACAGAGAGACACACACACACAGACACACACACACAGAGACACACACAGACACACAGACACACACACAGACACACACACAGACACACACACACAGACACACACACAGACACACAGACACACACACAGACACACACACACACAGACACACACAGACACACAGACACACACACAGACACACACACAGACACACACACACAGACACACACACAGACACACAGACACACACACAGACACACACACACACACACAGAGACACACACAGACACACAGAGACACACACAGACACACACAGACACACACAGAGAGACACACACAGACACACACAGAGAGACACACACACACAGACACAGACACTACATGTGTGCACGTCGCGCCCAGTGCTGCTTCCAGCAGGACAAGCAGGTGTTCTGTACCCGGCACGCCTCGCTCGTGACCACGCGGGTGAGAGAGACACACACAGACACACAGACACACACACAGAGACACACACAGACACACACACAGACACACACACAGACACACACAGAGAGACACACACAGACACACACACAACGAGACAGACACACACACACACACACACAGACACACACACAGACACACACACAGACACACACACAGACACACAGAGAGACACACAGACACACACACAGACACACACACAGACACACACACAGACACACACACACAGACACAGACACTACATGTGTGCCCGTCGCGCCCAGTGCTGCTTCCAGCAGGACAAGCAGGTGTTCTGTACCCGGCACGCCTCGCTCGTGACCACGCGGGTGAGAGAGACACACACAGACACACAGACACACAGACACACACACAGAGACACAGAGACACACAGAGAGACACACACAAAGACACACACAGAGAGACACACACAGACACACACACAAAGAGACAGACACACAGACACAGACACACACAGAGACACAGAGAGAGACACAGACACACACACAGACACACACACACAGAGACACACACAGACACACACAGACACACACACACACTGCATGTCTTTGTGTGTCTGTGTGTGTCTCTGTGTGTCTCTGTTTGACTCTCTGTGTATCTCTGTATCTCACTGTGTGTCTCTGTGTGCCTCTCTGTCTCACTGTCTCACTGTGTCTGTGTGTGTGTCTCTGTGTCTCACTGTGTGTGTCTCTGTGTCTGTGTGTGTGTGTCTCTGTGTGTGTGTCTCTGTGTGTCTCTGTGTCTCACTGTGTGTCTCTCTCTGTGTGTGTAGACACTGTGTGAGGGAGACTTTGCCGTGTCTCGCCGAGTCTTCGTGCAAGTCGAGGGTTTGGCCCTCAAGAAGAAATTCCTCCACGGCATCAGCCCGGAGTCCGTGCGGATGATCATCGGTATGCACAGACACGCACACATACACGCACAGACACGCACACACACACACACAGACACGCACACACAGATACACGCACAGACACGCACACACACACACACAGACACGCACACACAGACACGCACACACACACACGCACACACAGACACGCAGACACACACGCACACACAGACACGCAGACACACACGCACAGACACGCACACACAGACACGCACACACACACGCACACACACGACCACACAGACACGCACGCGCACACACGCACGCACAGACACGCACACACACGCACGCATTGACACGCACACACAGACACACACAGACTTTCACAGACATGCACGCATGTACACGCGCAGACACACGCCCGTACACACGCACACGCACGTACGTGTGTGTGTCTGTGTGTCTGTTTCTGTGTGTGTTTATGTCTCTGCGTGTGTCTATGTGTCTATGTGTGTGTGTCTACGTGTGTGTCTGTCTGTGTGTGTGTGTGTGTCTGTATCCGGTAAAACAACCTCCTACCTCCTCGTGTTGCCGGACGGGCAACGCTGTCGTGGGCAGTGCTGTGGGGGGGAGGGCCAATTCCAATTGGCCTTTCCCTACATGGCGTCTGTGACCACCAGAGTGGCCAAATGGGGGCTCTGGACGGGTGAGAGGGGCTGGTAACCCCTCCACCTTCAATAAATTACCACTAAACCACGTCTAAAATATCTAATTAATAAGCTTGTGCCGGAGGCCCCGGGGGGACAGGCGTCTATGACGTCTCCTGGCCAAACCCCATTTGGCGGAGCCAGGAGATTGAATCTTCACCCTCGGGGCTCCTCCAGAAACAACAAAAAACCATTGCGGATGGCCACGTGCAATGTTCAACGCTCACTGCGGAGGAGAGGCTGCCACTCCTCTGTCGGGAGCTGGACCGGTACCGCCTGGATCTCTGTGGTATTCAGGAGGTCTGGTGGACCGGCTCTGGCTCCTGCCACCATGAGGGGTGGACAGTCCTCTACTCGGGGCAGAAGACTGACAAACAACAGGGAGTGGCTCTTCTTCTGAACAAAAGAATGAAGGGGGCGTGGGAGCGTGGCGGTGAGGTGTGGGAAGCTGTAAGCCCCAGGCTACTTTGGGCTCGCCTTCCCATCAACCAGAGGCGAGGAGTGGTGGTCGTGGTTACTTATGCCCCCACCGAAGACGAACATCCGTGGAGGGATACAGGCAAAGCCGATGAGTCGGATGCCTTCTATGACCTCCTGTCACAGGCGCTAGCTAAAGTGGCCCCTCGGGACAGAGTCATCTTGTTGGGTGACTTCAATGCCCGAGTTGGTCATGATGCTGGCACCTGGTCTGGAGTGATTGGAAGGCATGGGCCAGATCAGCTCAATAACAACGGTAGGAGGCTGCTAGATTTTTGTGCAGCCCATGGGCTTGTAATTACCAACATGCTCTTCCGGCATCAGCGCATCCACACAACATCATGGATGCATGCCGGGTCCAAGCAAGAACATCTGCTGGACTACATAGTGACGGACCAGCGGATGCGAACCCATGTCCTTGACACCAGGACCTACCGTGGAGCTGATCTGTCCTCTGACCATCGACTAGTCATCTGTAAGATGCGCCTGCCTTTCTTCCACTCCGGTGGTGGGTGTACACCCAGGATCCCATTTTAACCAAAAGTGGCCTGGTCTCAGTTAGCTGATGAAAGTTGCAAGCAAGAATTTCATCATCGCTTGCAGCTGGGGTTGGCATCGTCCCCCACTCCACCTGATGTCGAGGGTAAATGGGCGAGGTTTAGGACTGTGACTCATGCAGCTGCAATGGCTGCTTTGGGTACGCGGTCCAGACCTCCCCAGAGACCCTGGCTGACAGAGGAGGTGTTCAGGCTGGCTGAGAAACAGCGACAGGCCCACTCTCATCGGCTACAGCATCCCACGTCGGAGAATGAGGAGGCTTACCGCAGCCTTCGCTCGGAGGTTCGGAGAGCCGTAAGGCGCTGCAAGGATGGGTGGTGGTCGCGGGTTGCTGAATAGATGGAATCTGCCTCAGTGGCCCGCAATCACAAATCACTATTTAATTCCATCAAAAAAGTAACCTGCAGCGCCACACCTATTACCATCATTAGGGGAAAAAAAACTATGATCCAATCTCTGACCCCCAGTAACAGGTTTGCGAATGGCGGTTGTTGTCTATGTTTGTGTCTGTGTGTGTGCTTGTGTGTGTGTCTGTGTGTGTATGTGTGTGTGTATCTATGTGTGTGTCTGTGTGTGTATCTATGTGTGTGTGTCTGTGTATCTGTGTGTGTGTATCTATGTGTGTGCCTGTGTCTATGTGTGTGTGTGTGTGTATCTGTGTGTGTGTGTCTGTGTGTGTGTGTCTGTGTGTGTGTATCTATGTGTGTGTCTGTGTGTGTGTATCTATGTGTGTGCCTGTGTCTGTGTGTGTGCCTGTGTCTGTGTGTGTCTGTGTGTGTGTCTCTATGTGTGTGTCTGTGTGTGTATATATGTGTGTGTGTGTGTGTCTGTGTATCTATGTGTGTGTGTGTCTCTATGTGTGTGTCTATGTGTGTGTCTGTGTGTGTGTCTATGTGTGTGTGTATCTATGTGTGTGTGTGTCTGTGTGTGTATCTGTCTGCAGGCTCTCTCACTATCGATGCCCTGGGAGTCCTAACAGAGCTGTCCGAGTGCGATGGCTTCCTCTACCCCATTGGATACACGTGAGACACACCACTTAGACACACACATTACATTGACACACACACACAGACAGACACACACATAGACACACACAGACAGACATAGACACACACACACAGACACACACAGACACACACACATTGACACACACAGACATAGACACACATACACACACAGACATACACACACAGACATACACACACATAGACACACACACAGACACACACACACATTGACACACAGACAGACATAGACACACACACACATAGACACATACACACACAGACATACACACACAGACACACACACACATTGACACACACACATTGACACACACACACACACATAGACACACACACAGACATACACACACACACACATAGACACACATACACACATAGACACACACATAGACACACACACACATAGACACTGCTGTTTATGTCGGGGTCTTGAAAAATAATAAAAAATCTTTTTTAAATGAAAAAATACGTACTTATCTAAGATGATGCTAATGCATGTAATTGTCTGTGTGTAGGTGTCGTCGCGTCTACTGGAGCACGGTCCACGCTGGGCGCCGCTGCGTCTACACTTGCCGCATTCTCGAGTTCCGACCCAAACCCGCGGCTCCGGACGTGAACAGCACCCAGTCACACAGCACGGAGACGCACACACGGGGTGAGCGGCACGCACACACAGGCACACACAGGCACAGGCACACACACGCACACACACACAGGCACGCACAAGCACGCACGGGGTGAGCGGCACGCACACACAGGCACACACAGGCACGCACACACGGGGTGAGTGCCACGCACACACAGGCACGCACAGGCACACACACGGGGTGAGCACAGGCACACACACACACACACGGGCACACACACAGGCACACACAGGCACACACACAGGCACACACATGCACGGGGTACACACAGGCACACACAGGCACGCACAGGCACACACAGGCACACACAGGCACACACGGGGTGAGCACAGGCACACACGGGGCTGAGCGCCACGCACACACAGGCACACACAGGCACACACACAGGCACACGCACAGGCACACACAGGCACACACACAGGCACACACACAGGCACACACGGGGCTGAGCGCCACGCACACACAGGCACACACAGGCACACACACAGGCACACACAGGCACACACACAGGCACACACACGCACAGGCACACACGGGGTGAGCACCACGCACGTACAGGCACAGGGGGGGGGGGTGTCCAGTCTTATGTAGTCGTAGTGGGGGTCCACGCGTGGGGGGGGGGCAGCTCTCCCCGTGACCGTCTTGCCCAGCGGGGGTCGGTCTCACGGCTTGGCGAGCGCCAGCGGCACCGGCGGCACCTTGACGACGCCGCAGCAGCCGGGACGGCTTGCGGTGTCCTCCATGCGGCGTGCGCGAGAGGGGGTCGTGGGGCTCCCTCACCGCACGCTCTGACTCCCCCTCCCCTCCCCTCCCCGTGGACCAGACGACGCGGCCGGGACGGTCGAGACGGTGCCGGCGCTGGCGACTTTGGCGGCCGCCGCGGCCGCCAACGTCGGAGAGGCTGGGCCCTCCGCCGAGGCCTGCGGCAAGGCTCCGGCAATCGGCAAGTCCCCGGGGTCTCCTCGCGCCGGCGGCGGCGGCGGTGGTGACGGCGGAGTCGCTGCGGCAAAGGCCGCTGCTGTGGCCTCGTACGAAAACCCTGGTGAGGATACACACACACGGCAGCAAATATACGCTGCACTATACACTACACTACATCATAAAATATTACTACACTACATTATACACTACTACACTACACTATACTACTACTACACTACATTATATACTACTACTACACTACATTATACACTACTACACTATATACTACACTACACTATACACTACTACACTACATTATATACTACTACACTACATCATATACTACTACACTACATTATATACTACTACACTACATTATATGCTACTACACTACATTATATACTACTACACTACATTATATGCTACTACACTACATTATATACTACTACACTACATCATATACTACTACTACACTACATTATACACTACTACACTACATTATATACTACTACACTACACTACTACACTACACACTACTACACTACACACTACTACACTACACTATAGACTACTACACTAAACACTACTACACTACACTATACACTATACTCTTTGGTTATTTCGGTAAAGTCACGTAGGTAGAAAATTAAATAAAACTAAAAATATACAAATCACGACGTTTCGATCGCAACACAAGCGTCCTCAGGCGGAAAAAATCATCCAGCAGTGGAACTGCTGAAGCAGGAATAAACACAGCGAGACAGCCTCTACAGCAACGAGGTTGTTATATATACGTGGTGATGGCCAAGCAGGCGGGGTCTGAGCTGGAAAGGAATTCCATTCCCGCACGCAACCACGTCAGCTGTCTTCTTGGTTCTTTCGGTAAAGTCACCACGTAGAAGGGAAGTAATAAAATAATAAAAATAAAACATAATAAAATAATTCTCACGACGTTTCGGCCACAACGTAAGCAGCCGTCCTCAGGTGGAGAACAAGTCTGTCGGAAAGACAGCATCTGAATGAACACCACCAAGCTTGGCAGCGTTAATATACGCTGTTCTTCACCTGAGGACGGCTGCTTGCGTTGTAGCCGAAACGTCGTGAGAATTATTTTATTATGTTTTATTTTTATTATTGTATTACTTCCCTTCTACGTGACTTTACCGAAAGAACCAAGAAGATGAATCCCTGCAGTCACGGAAGCTTTAAATCGAAAAATCACGTCGGCTGTGTTCATGGGGGAGATTAGGGAGAGAGAAAGATTAGCATGAAATGAGCTTCCGTCGCCACATTAACACAGCTGACGTGCTCGCGTGCGGAGATGGAATTCCTTTCCAGCTCGGACCTCGCCTGCTTGCCCATCACCACGTGTATATGTAGTGCTGAACTCTACACGACAGCTTCTTGCTTTTCTTTGTCACTTTATTCCGCTAACACCGATCAACATTCCTCCTCCGCGCTCTCCGCTCGCTCCGCGTCTCTCACTCTGCCGACTCATATCTACACTCTCTCCGGCACACTCCAGCCGCTCTTTATCGGCTTTTTCGTCACACTCAGCCGCTCTTTATTGGCTTTTTCGTCACACTCAGTCGCTCTTTATCGGCTTTTTCGTCACACTCAGTCGCTCTTTATCGGCTTTTACGTCACACTCAGCCGCTTTTTATTGGCTTTTTCGTCACACTCAGCCGCTTTTTATTGGCTTTTTCGTCACACTCAGCTGCTCTTTATTGGCTTTTTCGTCACACTCAGCCGCTCTTTATTGGCTTTTTCGTCACACTCAGCCGCTCTTTATTGGCTTTTTCGTCACACTCAGCCGCTCTTTATTGGCTTTTTCGTCACACTCAGTCGCTTTTTATTGGCTTTTTCGTCACACTCAGCCGCTCTTTATCGGCTTTTCTGTCACACTCAGACGCTTTTTATCGGCTTTTTCGTCACACTCAGCCGCTCTTGATCGGCTTTTCCGTCACACTCCAGCCGCTTTCTGCTGGCTTCTCCACTGCTACCCTACACTTCTCCACGGCTACCCTACGCTTCTCTACTGCTACCCTACATTTCTCCACTGCTACCCTGTACTTCTCCACTGCTACCCTACACTTCTCCACTGCTACCCTACATTTCTCCACTGCTACCCTACACTTCTCCACTGCTACCCTGTACTTCTCCACTGCTACCCTACACCTCTCCACTGCTACCCTACTCTTCTCCACTGCTACTCTACACTTCTCCACTGCTACCCTACACTTCTCCACTGCTACTCTGTACTTCTCCACTGCTACCCTACTCTTCTCCACTGCTACCCTACACTTCTCTACTGCTACCCTACACTTCTCCACTGCTACCTTACTCTTCTCCACTGCTACTCTACACTTCTCCACTGCTACCCTACACTTCTCCACTGCTACTCTGTACTTCTCCACTGCTACCCTACTCTTCTCCACTGCTACCCTACTCTTCTCCACTGCTACCCTACACTTCTCCACTGCTACCCTACACTTCTCCACTGCTACCCTACACTTCTCCACTGCTACCCTACACTTCTCCACTGCTACCCTACACTGCACCACTGCTACCCTACACTTCTCCACTGCTACCCTACTCTTCTCCACTGCTACCCTACACTTCTCCACTGCTACCCTGTACTTCTCCACTGCTACCCTACTCTTCTCCACTGCTACCCTACTCTTCTCCACTGCTACCCTACTCTTCTCCACTTCTACCCTACACTTCTCCACTGCTACCCTACTCTTCTCCACTGCTACCCTACACTTCTCCACTGCTACCCTGTACTTCTCCACTGCTACCCTACTCTTCTCCACTGCTACCCTACTCTTCTCCACTGCTACCCTACGCTTCTCCACTGCTACCCTGTACTTCTCCACTGCTACCCTACTCTTCTCCACTGCTACCCTACTCTTCTCCACTGCTACCCTACACTTCTCCACTGCTACCCTACTCTTCTCCACTGCTACCCTACGCTTCTCCACTGCTACCCTGTACTTCTCCACTGCTACCCTACACTTCTCCACTGCTACCCTACATTTCTCCACTGCTACCCTACACTTCTCCACTGCTACCCTGTACTTCTCCACTGCTACCCTGTACTTCTCCACTGCTACCCTACTCTTATCCACTGCTACCCTACTCTTCTCCACTGCTACCCTACTCTTCTCCACTGCTACTCTACACTTCTCCACTGCTACTCTACACTTCTCCACTGCTACTCTACACTTCTCCACTGCTACCCTACACTTCTCCACTGCTACTCTGTACTTCTCCACTGCTACCCTACTCTTCTCCACTGCTACCCTACACTTCTCTACTGCTACCCTACACTTCTCCACTGCTACCTTACTCTTCTCCACTGCTACCCTACTCTTCTCCACTGCTACCCTACTCTTCTCCACTGCTACCCTACACTTCTCCACTGCTACCCTACACTTCTCCACTGCTACCCTACACTTCTCCACTGCTACCCTACACTTCTCCACTGCTACCCTACACTTCTCCACTGCTACCCTACACTGCACCACTGCTACCCTACACTTTTCCACTGCTACCTTACACTTCTCCACTGCTACCCTACTCTTCTCCACTGCTACCCTACACTTCTCCACTGCTACCCTACTCTTCTCCACTGCTACCCTACACTTCTCCACTGCTACCCTACACTTCTCCACTGCTACCCTGTACTTCTCCACTGCTACCCTACTCTTCTCCACTGCTACCCTACTCTTCTCCACTGCTACCCTGTACTTCTCCACTGCTACCCTGTACTTCTCCACTGCTACCCTACTCTTCTCCACTGCTACCCTACTCTTCTCCACTGCTACCCTGTACTTCTCCACTGCTACCCTACTCTTCTCCACTGCTACCCTACTCTTCTCCACTGCTACCCTACTCTTCTCCACTGCTACCCTACACTTCTCCACTGCTACCCTACACTTCTCCACTGCTACCCTACTCTTCTCCACTGCTACCCTACACTTCTCCACTGCTACCCTACTCTTCTGCACTGCTACCCTACTCTTCTCCACTGCTACCCTGTACTTCTCCACTGCTACCCTGTACTTTTCCACTGCTACCCTACACTTCTCCACTGCTACCCTACACTTCTCCACTGCTACCCTACTCTTCTCCACTGCTACCCTACTCTTCTCCACTGCTACCCTACACTTCTCCACTGCTACCCTACACTTCTCCACTGCTACCCTACTCTTCTCCACTGCTACCCTGTACTTCTCCACTGCTACCCTGTACTTCTCCACTGCTACCCTACACTTCTCCACTGCTACTCTACACTTCTCCACTGCTACCCTACACTTCTCCACTGCTACCTTACTCTTCTCCACTGCTACCCTACATTTCTCTACTGCTACCCTACACTTCTCCACTGCTACCCTACGCTTCTCCACAGCTACCCTACACTTCTCCACTGCTACCCTACATTTCTCCACTGCTACACTGTACTTCTCCACTGCTACCCTACTCTTCTCCACTGCTACCCTACTCTTCTCCACTGCTACCCTGTACTTCTCCACTGCTACCCTACTCTTCTCCACTGCTACCCTACTCTTCTCCACTGCTACCCTACTCTTCTCCACTTCTACCCTACACTTCTCCACTGCTACCCTACACTTCTCCACTGCTACCCTACTCTTCTCCACTGCTACCCTACTCTTCTCCACTGCTACCCTACTCTTCTCCACTGCTACCCTACACTTCTCCACTGCTACCCTACACTTCTCCACTGCTACCCTACTCTTCTCCACTGCTACCCTACACTTCTCCACTGCTACCCTACACTTCTCCACTGCTACCCTACTCTTCTGCACTGCTACCCTACTCTTCTGCACTGCTACCCTACGCTTCTCCACTGCTACCCTGTACTTCTCCACTGCTACCCTGTACTTTTCCACTGCTACCCTACACTTCTCCACTGCTACCCTACACTTCTCCACTGCTACCCTGTACTTCTCCACTGCTACCCTGTACTTCTCCACTGCTACCCTACTCTTCTCCACTGCTACCCTACTCTTCTCCACTGCTACCCTACTCTTCTCCACTGCTACCCTACGCTTCTCCACTGCTACCCTGTACTTCTCCACTGCTACCCTGTACTTCTCCACTGCTACCCTGTACTTCTCCGCTGCTACCCTACACTTCTCCACTGCTACCTTACACTTCTCCACTGCTACCCTACTCTTCTCCACTGCTACCCTGTACTTCTCCACTGCTACCCTGTACTTCTCCACTGCTACCCTACACTTCTCCACTGCTACCCTACTCTTCTCCACTGCTACTCTGTACTTCTCCACTGCTACCCTACTCTTCTCCACTGCTACCCTACACTTCTCCACTGCTACCTTACTCTTCTCCACTGCTACCCTACATTTCTCTACTGCTACCCTACACTTCTCCACTGCTACCCTACGCTTCTCCACAGCTACCCTACACTTCTCCACAGCTACCCTACTCTTCTCCACTGCTACCCTACACCTCTCCACTGCTACCCTACTCTTCTCCACTGCTACCCTACTCTTCTCCACTGCTACCCTACACTTCTCCACTGCTACCCTACTCTTCTCCACTGCTACCCTACTCTTCTCCACTGCTACCCTACTCTTCTCCACTGCTACCCTGTACTTCTCCACTGCTACCCTACTCTTCTCCACTGCTACCCTACACCTCTCCACCGCTACCCTACGCTTCTCCACTGCTACCCTACTCTTCTCCACCGCTACCCTACACTTCTCCACTGCTACCCTACTCTTCTCCACTGCTACCCTGTACTTCTCCACTGCTACCCTACTCTTCTCCACTGCTACCCTACTCTTCTCCACTGCTACCCTGTACTTCTCCACTGCTACCCTGTACTTCTCCACTGCTACCCTGTACTTCTCCACTGCTACCCTACACTTCTCCACTGCTACCCTACACTTCTCCACTGCTACCCTACTCTTCTCCACTGCTACACTATACACTGCTACACTATACACTACACTATACACTACACTATACACTACACTATACAATACTACATTATACACTACTACACTATACACTACTACACTACTACACTATACACTACACTACACACTACTACATTATACACTACTACACTATACACTACTACACTATACACTACTACACTACACTATACACTACACACTACTACATTATACACTACTACACTACACACTATACACTACAACCCCCCCCCCCCCGCGTGCCTCCCCAGGGAGCCCGCCCCGCCGAGCGTCTCACATCATCATGGTCAGCGACGAGTCGGTCTCCCCGGTGCGACGGCGGATCCCCGCACGCAAACCGCACTACCTCCTGTCGCCGCCGGCGCCGGCACGGCCACCGCGGATCACCGCCATCGCCTCCTCCTCCTCGTCCTCCTCGTCCTCCTCGTCGTCTGCGTCGTCCGGCTCGACTTTGGTGGCTATGCCCGTCGCCCATCACCACCTGCAGCAGCAGCAGCAGGAGAAGCAGCAGCAGCCGCAACAGCAGCAGCTGCAGCAGCCGCAGCAGCAGCAGCTGCAGGAGAAGGGGACGCCACTGGGCAGGAGTCTAACTCAGCAGCCTGAGCTGCACAGGAGCAGCGAGCACTCGCTGCTGCCTTGCGGTGGTGACGGTGTCGGTGGTGGTGGTGTTGGTGCTGTTGGTGTTGTTGGTGTTGTTGGTGGTGGTGTCGGTGTCTCCGTTGACGAGGGGCTGGCCGATTGCCTTGATTTGGTCGGGCTGCTCAACCACGATCATCATCATCAGCAGCAGCTACATCATCATCAGCAGCAGCAGCTACATCAGCAGCAGCATCAGGCAAGGCCTCTGAATGCCCTCTGTGGAAAATCCGAGCCTCCCGCTCCTCATCATCCTCCAACGGGTGACGAGGAGCTGCCCCCCCACCAATCTCCCCCCACCACCACCACCGCCCACCACCAGCAGCACCAGCCGGACTGCGAGCTGTCGGCGCTCGCCCCGTTCAGCTCTCCCGACCTGCAGCTGCTAAGCGTCGTGGCCATGTCCATCGGGGGGGCGGGGGGCGGCGGTGGCGGCGAGGCTCTCGCGCCGCTCCCCGCCGACGTCGGGGAGATGTCGGCGGAGTCGCCGCGGGACCCGGCGGCCACGGCGGGGTCCGTCGTTTCGGCCAGGTACCAGTTTGCGTTGGAGGAGTTGGCGGCGGACAGGGAGGACGACCTGGAGCGGCGCGTCGCCCCCCACCCGGCCGCCCTCCTCGCCCCTCCGCCCGGTCAGCTCCCGTACCGCCCCAGCGGCGGCGGCCTTCCCTCCGGTCGCCACGGCGACGAGGCCTCGGCGGAGGAGGTGTCGGCGGCGTCGGCGCTGGCCGACCCGGAGCTCCACCTCCTGTTGGACGAGATGCTGCAGCAGCAGCTGCTACAGCAGCAGCTGCAGCTACAGCAGCAGCAGCAGCAGCTGCATCAGCTGCAACAGGAGCAGCAGCATGAGCAGCTACAGCAGCAGCAGCTGCTACAGCAACAGCCGCAGCATGAGCAGCTACAGCAGGGTGATGACAACGATGCGGCGCCGGCGGCACTGTCGGCTCCGACTCCTTCCTCGGACGACGACGAGGGCGGTGGCTGCGGTGGCCGCTACTCCGCTTTGCCGCGCCTCGTCTTCTCCGAAGTCGCCGTCACCGCCGGCGATCGTCGCTCGCCGCCGCCGCTACCGGCGGAGGGGGAGACGCGGATCGGCGGGCAGGTCGATGGCGCGGACGACGACGGCGAGGACAACGGCGCTGGCGACGGTGACGGCGAGGCGGCGTCCGCGAGCGGCAGCGGTGCCGGTAGCGCCGGCGCATCGACGACGACGACGCCGGCGCCGGTCGTGGTGTCACTGGCGGCGGTCGCGGCAATGGAGCGACGTGCGGCCGGGACGACGGCCGTCAAGGCCTCCGACGCTCGTGGTGTTGACGGTGACGGTGCCACCGCCACCGCTAATGACGCCGGTAGTTGCGGTGTTGCCGGTGACGCCGCTGTGGCTACTTCTGCCACTACTTCTGCCGCTACTTGTGCGGCTACTTCTGCCACTACTTCTGCGGCTACTTCTGCCACTACTTCTGCGACTACTTCTGCCGCTACTTCTGCGGCTGGCAGTGGCCACGGCGGCGATGCCACCACCACCTCCCTCCACCTGCCGGTCTCCATTGCCCAGCTGCTGCTCACCGACCCCAAACTTCAGTCGAGCTTCGTGGACCTCCGGCGAACCGGGGATGACGCCGCCGCCGCCAGCGGCCGGCAGCTGCGCCGCACCCACAGCCTCGACTGCCGCGCCGGCAGCGCCCGTGGTGGCGGCGGCGGCGGTTCCGGCGTTTCCGGCGTCGTGGGGAGAGCGGAGCCGATTGGTCGCCGTAGTCGGAGCGTTCCGGCTGCGGCGGCGGAGGCGGAGGCAGTTGCCACAGCCGCGGCTGTCGCCGTGGCAACTCGCCACGGCAACCCTTTGCGCGAGGAGGAAGAGGAGGAGAAGGAGGAGGGGCCAGGGGAAAATTCCGTGGCGACCGCGGTTACCGTGGCGACCACGGGGACCGTTTCAACTTCAAGTAATGTGGAAACTTCGGGGACCGTGACGACCGCGGCGGTTACCGTGGCGACTACTGGGACCTCGGTTACCGTGGCGACTACGGGGACCGCGGTTACCGTGGCGACTACGGGGACCGCTGCAATTTCAAGGACTGCGGAAACTCCGGTTACCGCGGTGACCGCGGTTACCGTGGCGACCGCGCCGACACTTGCGGCTCCTTCCACGGCGACGTGGGCCCTCCCGACGGCGGCGTGCGTCGTCCCGTTCACCGCGCCGCCGCCGATCTTCACGCTCTCCTCGCCGGGCCTCACCTGGTCGTTCGCACCACCACCGCCGCCGTTCCCGGCCGCGCTCCCCAACGGCCACGGAGCGCCGGCGGTGACCTCGGCGGTTCCCTCGCCGGCGCCGCCCGACGCTCCGCCCCCGAACCTCCCCCCGCCCCGGGTCTTCCTCGTCTCGGCCGACGGCTCCGGCGCCAGCCTCGTGTCCCCGGCGCCTCCTCCTCCTCTGCCGGCGCCGGCGCCGTCCTCGGCAAGCTGCCGGACGGCGCCGCTCAGCCGGCGTCGCGGCCGACGCCGGCGCAGCTCGCGATGCCGCAGCCGCTGGTGCTGTTCGGCAGCCAGCACCGGCAGTACCACCAGCACCAGCTGCTCGCCGGCGTGGGCGGCGCCGGCGTGGGGGCCGCCGGCAACTCCAACGTCACCATCATCTCTCTGCCTTCGTCCATGATGCACCAGCACCACCAGCAGCAGCACCAGCTGATGATGTCGCCCGAGGCCGCCGCTGGTTTTGACCGCGGCGGCGGTGCCGGCAACTTCATGCTGCGCTTCCTGGCGGTCGGCTCGCCGCTCAACTTCGCGCAGCCGGCGCCGGCGGTCGGTCCGTCGCCGCCGCCACCGCCGCCTCCCGGCACTGCCAAAACCCAGCAGCAGCAGCAACAACAGCAACAACAGCAGCAACTGCAGCAGCAGCAACAACAACAACAGCAGCAACTGCAGCAACTGCAGCAGCAGCAACAACAGCAGCAGCAACTGCAGCAGCAGCTGCGGCAGCAGTTTGCCACGATGCCGGGGCTCTACGGCGTCAGCGCCAGGCCGGCGCTCCCTCCACCGCCGGCGCCGGATCCGTCGCGGAGTTGCTCCGGGTTCGGCGGCAGCGGCGCCACCACAACGACGATGATGAGCGCCACGACCACAACCACCAGCGTCGGCACAGGCGTCACCACCGCAGCAGCAGCAGCAGCAGCAGCAGGATGTGGGCGGCTAGCACCCGGCGGCGGCGGTTGTGGTGGTGGTACCGCCACTACCGCCTCCTCCCTGTGGAACCCGTTTGGCGCGGCGCTGGCAGCTGCCGCCGCCGCCGCCACCACCACCACGACCACCGCCACCACCACCACGAGGCGTCCGAAGCCCAAACAACAACCGCAGCAGCAGCAGCAGCCACCGCCGACGCAGCAGCAGCTGCAGCAGCAGCAGCAGCAGCTGCAGCAGCAGAAGGCGTCAAACGCCAGGGCGCCGATGCCGGCGCCGTCGCCGGTGTCGTCGTTTGCCCCGGCGGGCAAGCTGGCGGAGAGCTGCCAGCTGGGCCTGGAATCGCTCTGCCGAGTCTTCCGCGCCGGCGGCGACTTCCTGCCGTTGCCCTCGAAGCAGCAGCAGCAGCAGCAGCCTCCTGCTGCGGCTCCAGCTGCTGCTGCTGCTGCTGCGGGAGACGCGAGGGGCAAGAAGAGGTGGAGGGACGAGGTCGCTGCTGGCGCCCGCGGAGGTGGCGGTGGCGTTGGTGGCGATGAGTCTGGGGCAGCGGGGACGCAGCACGGGTGAGTGAGGAGATGTGTGTTTGTGTGGCTTGTGTGTGCGTGTTTGTGTGTGTCTGTGTGTGTCTGTGTGTCTGTGTGTGTGTGTGTCTGAGTGTGTGTGTGTCTGAGTGTGTGTGTGTGTGTCTGAGTGTGTGTGTGTGTGTGTCTGTGTGTCTTTGTGTGTCTGAGTGTGTCTGTCTGAGTGTGTATCTGCATGTCTCTGTGTGTGTCTGTGTGTGTGTGTGTGCGTGTCTGTGTGTGTGTGTGTGTGTGTCTGTGTGTGTGTGTGTGTGTCTGTGTGTGTGTCTGTCTGAGTGTGTCTGTGTGTGTGTCTGTCTGAGTGTGTATCTGCATGTCTCTGTGTGTGTGTGTGGTGCCGGACGGGCAATGCTGTCGTGGACAGTGCTGTGGGGGGGAGGGCCAATTCCGATTGGCCTTTCCCTACATGGCATTTGTGACCACCGCAGCGGCTAAACGGGGGCTCTGGACGGGTGCGAGGGGCTGGTAACACCTCCACCTTCAATTCATTACCACTAAACCACGACTTAAATATCTAATTAATAAGCGTGTGCCGGAGGCCCCGGGGAGACAGGCGTCCATGACGTCTCCTGGCCAAACCACAATTGGCGGAGCCAGGAGATTGAATCTTCACCCTCGGGGCTCCTCCAGAAACAACGAAAAGCCACAACGGATGGCCACGTGGAATGTTCGAACGCTCACTGCGGAGGAGAGGCTGCCACTCCTCTGTCGGGAGCTGGACCGGTACCACCTGGATCTCTGTGGCATTCAGGAGGTCCGGTGGACCGGCTCTGGCTCCTGCCACCATGAGGGGTGGACAGTCCTCTACTCGGGGCAGGAGACTGCCAAACAACAGGGAGTGGCTCTTCTTCTGAACAAATTAATGAAGGGGGCGTGGGAGCGTGGCGGTGTGGTGTGGGAAGCTGTAAGCCCCAGGCCACTCTGTCGCTGTGAGTCTTTAGTCTCCTCTCGTGTGTCTGTGTGGTGGTGGTGGTGCTGACGATGTTGACGATGTTGCTGACGATGATGATGATGTTGACGATGTTGCCGATGACGATGTTGCTGACGACGAGTATGACGATGATGACGATGTTGCTGACGATGATGACGATGATGATGATGATGACGACGATGATGACGATGATGATGACGATGATGACAATGACGACGATGTTGCCGATGATGATGCTGAAGATGATGACGATGTTGACGATGTTGCTGTTGATGATGATGCCGATGTTGCTGTTGACGATGTTGCTGACGATGATGACAACGATGATGATGATGACAATGATGACGATGTTGCCGATGATGATGATGCTGAAGATGATGACGTTGATGATGCCGATGTTGCTGTTGACGATGTTGCAGCAACAAGCGTCTCCGCATCAAGATGCCGTCGTTCAATCTGTCGGAATTTGGGGACACGGGAGACGAGGCAGAGGAGGAGGAAGACGACGACGATGAAGACGATGAGAGGGTGGAGAGGTGAAGCTCTCATCCACCAACTCCACCACCTCCACCACCTCCACCACTATCACCTCCATCACTACCACCACTACCACCACCACTACCACCTTTACCACTACCACCTCCACCATCACCTCCATCACTACCACCTCCACTACCACCTCCACCACCACCTCCATCACTACCACCACTACCACCACCACTACCACCTTTACCACTACCACCTCCACCATCACCTCCATCACTACCACCTCCACTACCACCTCCACCACCACCTCCATCACTACCACCTCCACTACCACCACCTCCACTACCACCTCCACTACCACCACTACCACCTTTACCACTACCACCTCCACCACCACCATCACCTCCATCACTCCCACCTGATTCTAGATTTGAAGTTTTCGTGACTGCAAGGATTCATATTCTTAGGTTTTTTCGGTAAAGTCACGTAGGTAAAAACATTAATGAACGTAAAATAGAAATAAATAAAAAATCACGACGTTTCGGAGGCAACACAAGCTTTTGTCTTCAGGTGCAGCGATTTCAGCCGCACCACATCTACATAACAATAGGCTCAGTCAACCATTCTACACAACAGACTCATTTCCTGGCAGGATTTCAGCCGCACCACCTCTACATAACAATAGGCTCAGTCAACCATTCTACACAACAAAGACTCATTTCCTGGCAGTGATTTCAGCCGCACCACCTCTCCATAACAATAGGCTCAGTCAACCATTCTACACAACAAAGACTCATTTCCTGGCAGCGATTTCAGCCGCACCACCTCTACATAACAATAGGCTCAGTCAACCATTCTACACAACAAAGACTCATTTCCTGGCAGCGATTTCAGCCGCACCACCTCTACATAACAAAAGGCTCAGTCAACCATTCTACACAACAAAGACTCTTTTCCTGGCAGCGATTTCAGCCGCACCACCTCTCCATAACAATAGGCTCAGTCAACCATTCTACACAACAAAGACTCTTTTCCTGGCAGCGATTTCAGCCGCACCACCTCTACATAACAAAAGGCTCAGTCAACCATTCTACACAACAAAGACTCATTTCCTGGCAGCGATTTCAGCCGCACCACCTCTACATAACAATAGGCTCAGTCAACCATTCTACACAACAAAGACTCATTTCCTGGCAGCGATTTCAGCCGCACCACCTCTACATAACAATAGGCTCAGTCAACCATTCTACACAACAAAGACTCATTTCCTGGCAGCGATTTCAGCCGCACCACCTCTACATAACAATAGGCTCAGTCAACCATTCTACACAACAAAGACTCATTTCCTGGCAGCGATTTCAGCCGCACCACCTCTACATAACAATAGGCTCAGTCAACCATTCTACACAACAAAGACTCTTTCCTGGCAGCGATTTCAGCCGCACCACCTCTACATAACAAAAGGCTCAGTCAACCATTCTACACAACAAAGACTCATTTCCTGGCAGCGATTTCAGCCGCACCACCTCTACATAACAATAGGCTCAGTCAACCATTCTACACAACAAAGACTCATTTCCTGGCAGCGATTTCAGCCGCACCACTTCTACATAACAAAAGGCTCAGTCAACCATTCTACACAACAAAGACTCTTTTCCTGGCAGCGATTTCAGCCGCACCACCTCTACATAACAATAGGCTCAGTCAACCATTCTACACAACAAAGACTCATTTCCTGGCAGTGATTTCAGCCGCACCACCTCTACATAACAATAGGCTCAGTCAACCATTCTACACAACAAAGACTCATTTCCTGACAGCGAGTTAAGCCGCACCACCTCTACATAACAAAGGCTCAGTCAACCATTCTACACAACAAAGACTCATTTCCTGGCAGCGATTTCAGCCGCACCACTTCTACATAACAAAAGGCTCAGTCAACCATTCTACACAACAAAGACTCTTTTCCTGGCAGCGATTTCAGCCGCACCACCTCTACATAACAAAAGGCTCAGTCAACCATTCTACACAACAAAGACTCATTTTCTGGCAGCGATTTCAGCCGCACCACATCTACATAACAAAGGCTCAGTCAACCATTCTACACAACAAAGACTCATTTCCTGGCAGCGATTTCAGCCACACCACCTCTACATAACAAAAAGGCTCAGTCCCTTTTACACGCACCTTTACATCAGCCGCACCTAGTCTACACAACAAAGGCTCATTCCTAGCAGCGTGCTTCAGCCGCACCGAACCTCACAGAAACAATATCCAGGGCCTACCTTGGCTCCCCCACCCTCAACCAGTATATATACAAGGACTGTTTTCTTGGAATTTCTCTTCACTTGATACAGCAGTCGTGCTGTGACGGTTCCACCTGAAGACGGAGGCTGCTTGTGTTGCCTCCGAAACGTCGTGATTTTTATTTTATGTTTATTTTTTTTTTATTAATTTACCTACGTGGTGACTTTACCGAAAAAACCTACGAATTTGTCTGTACTGTACGCGTTGTGGTGTCCGTTCTACTGTACACAGCTCCCCCTGGGTAATTGTAGATTTGAAGTTGACCAATTTGTCTCTCGTAGGCCGGCCCATCACCCCAACACGTCCCATTCCCTGGCTACCACATTCAGAGAATGCCCCACTAACTTGTGTTTAAGGGCTGGTCTCTTGGAATGTTCCTCACTTGATGCAGTACTTGTCGCTGTGACGATCCCACAGCTGATGACGGAGACTTGTGTCTTCTTGGTTCTTTCGGTAAAGTCATCACGTAGAAGGGAAGTAATAAAATAATTACAACAAAACATAATAAAATAATTCTCACGACGTTTCGGTCACAACATAAGCAGCCGTCCTCAGGTGGAGAACAAGTCTGTCGGAAAGACAGCGTCTGAATGAACACCACCAGGCTTGGCAGCGTTAATATACGCTGTTCTTCACCTGAGGACGGCGAAAGAACCAAGAAGATGAATCCCTGCAGTCACGAAATAAGCTTTAAATCGGAGACTTGTGTGTTGCCTCCGAAAAGTCGTCGTGATTTTTATAATATTTTAATTTTATAAATTTCAGTTTTTTACCTTCACGGTGACTTTACCGAAAAACCCTGCAAGTACGTGAACCCCCTGGGTGAGTGGATGTGAGACAGCAGAGCCCGGCACACGCCGGCTGTTGTGTGTTGCTAGAGATGAGCGACGGGTAGTGGCCATCTCGCACCTGTACCACCCTTGACCGCAGCGTCTCTCCCTCGCTGTGGTTCATCCCGGCCTAGGCAGTCCTGCCGCTCTATTTGCTTACGCGCTTTAAACACGTTCCCTTCGGAGTGGGCAGGTAGGGACTTGGTTGGACGGTGCATTCGTTGCACGACAGACAGACACGTGTTTGTGTTTGTGTGCGTCAGGATGGGCGTCGTGAATCTGCCTGCCGCCACCACCACCACCGCCACCATGGCCACCACCGCCACCATGATCTCCTCTTGCAACTTCAGCACCCGCGCCGAGGAGCTGGCGGCCTTGTGTACACGTGAGACACACACACAGATACACACACAGACACACACAGACACATTGATACAGACACACACACAGATACATACACACACAGACACACACACAGACACACACACACAGATACATACACACACAGACACACACACAGACACACACACACAGACACACACACACAGACACACACACATAGACACACACACACACAGACACACACACACAGACACACACACATAGACACACACACACACAGACACACACAGAGACACATTGATACAGACACATTGATACAGACACACACACAGACACACACAGACACACACACAGACACACACGCATACACAGACACACACGCACACACAGACACACACAGACACACACACAGATACACACACAGATACACACACAGACACACACACAGACACACACATAGACACACACGCACACAGACACGCACACAGACACAGACACACAGACAGACACACGCACACACACAGACACACGCACACACACACACAGGCACACACACACACAGACACACACACACAGACACACACACACACACAGGCACACACACACAGACACACACACACATTACCGTCGTGATCTGAGTTTGTAAAGTTGGTATTCTCAAAGCGCTCCACAGGGCGCCGTTCGTTGCCGGCAGCACTTGCCCCAACAGTCTGCCGAGTGCTATACGGGGGAGCTTTGTCTTTGTATCTCACTGATTAACTCCCCCCCCTCCTTCCACTCCCTCCCCTCCCTCCCCCCTCCCTCCCCTCCCTCCCCCCTCCCTCCCTCTCCTCCCTCCCTCCCTCCCCTCCCTCTCCACCCTGCCTTCCGCCCCCCTCCCGCCCCACCCCCCCGCCCCCCCCCCAGCGTGTGAGGAGGGCACCGACGAGGAGTCGTGCAGCTCCCCGCTGCTGGCGCTGCTGCTGCGGCGCCAGGCTGCCGCCGAGCTGCAGGAGTCCCAGCGGCGCCAGCGGCAGCGGCGGCTGAGGCAACGGCGCCACCACCGCCGCCACCACCACCACCACCAGCTGCAGCAGCAGCAGCAGCAGCAGCTGCAGCAGCAGCAGCAGCAGCTGCAGAGCGGCAAGCGGCGCCGGCCGCAGCACGAGCCGCGTCGTCACGACGACGGCTGCTACGACGACCATGACGACGATGACGATGATGACGGCTACGACGACGATGATGACGACGACGATGACGACAGCGACGACTGCGGAGACTTCGCTGCCGGTGGATCCCCGTGGGACTGTCCCTCTTCCTCCGCTGCCACCAAACCACTCCCCACCGCTGCCACCAAACCAGTCCCCACCGCTGCCACCAATTCGGCCCCCGCCAACGCCGACACGGCCGCCGTGGGGTCACCGCCGCCGCCGGGGTCACCGCAGGGGTCGCCCCCGGGGTCGTTGCCGGGGTCGGGGTCGTTGCCGGGGTCGTCGGGGTCGTTGCCGGGGCGACCGCCCCCCCCCGGCGAGGCGGAGAAGCCGGGCCTCATCGTGGAGATCGCCAGCGACGACGGGTTCTTCGTGCGCTCGCGCTCCGTGCATGGTGCCTATGCTCACCCACCGCTCACCCTGTGCTCACCCAACGCTCACCCAGTGCTCACCCATCACTCACCCAGTGCTCGCGCTCCGTGCACGGTGCCTACGCTCACCCACCGCTCACCCTGTGCTCACCCAACGCTCACCCAGTGCTCACCCATCACTCACCCAGTGCTCGCGCTCCGTGCACCGTGCCTACGCTCACCCACCGCTCACCCTGCGCTCACCCAGAGCTCACCCAGAGCTCACCCAGAGCTCACCCAGAGCTCACCCACCACTCACCCACCACTCGCGCTCCGTGCGTAGGGGCGGCGACGGTCACCTGACCCCCCTCGCGACCATGTGTTCGCAACTCGGCCCCCGCCCACCTTCCAGATTCCTCGAGTTCCTTCTAGAATGTTCCCCAGAGTCCCCCGGGACCAGGTGGCCGCCCCTTAGCGCTCACCCAACGCTCACCCAGCACTCGCCCAACACTCACCCAACGCTCACCCAACGCTCACCCATCACTCACCCAGTGCTCACCCATCACTCACCCAGTGCTCACCCAGAGCTCACCCACCACTCACCCAGAGCTCGCGCTCCGTGCACGGTGCCTACGCTCACCCACCGCTCACCCAGTGCTCACCCATCACTCACCCAGTGCTCACCCAGAGCTCACCCACCACTCACCCACCACTCACCCACCACTCGCGCTCCGTGCACGGTGCCTACGCTCACCCACCGCTCACCCTGCGCTCACCCACCACTCACCCAGTGCTCACCCAGAGCTCACCCACCACTCACCCAGAGCTCGCGCTCCGTGCACGGTGCCTACGCTCACCCACCGCTCACCCTGCGCTCACCCATCACTCACCCAGTGCTCACCCAGAGCTCACCCACCACTCACCCAGAGCTCGCGCTCCGTGCACGGTGCCTACGCTCACCCACCGCTCACCCAGTGCTCACCCATCACTCACCCAGTGCTCACCCAGAGCTCACCCACCACTCACCCAGTGCTCGCGCTCCGTGCACGGTGCCTACGCTCACCCACCGCTCACCCAGTGCTCACCCATCACTCACCCAGTGCTCACCCAGAGCTCACCCACCACTCACCCAGAGCTCGCGCTCCGTGCACGGTGCCTACGCTCACCCACCGCTCACCCAGTGCTCACCCATCACTCACCCAGTGCTCACCCAGAGCTCACCCACCACTCACCCAGAGCTCGCGCTCCGTGCACGGTGCCTACGCTCACCCACCGCTCACCCAGTGCTCACCCATCACTCACCCAGTGCTCACCCAGAGCTCACCCACCACTCACCCAGTGCTCGCGCTCCGTGCACGGTGCCTACGCTCACCCACCGCTCACCCAGTGCTCACCCATCACTCACCCAGTGCTCACCCAGAGCTCACCCACCACTCACCCAGAGCTCGCGCTCCGTGCACGGTGCCTACGCTCACCCACCGCTCACCCAGTGCTCACCCATCACTCACCCAGTGCTCACCCAGAGCTCACCCACCACTCACCCAGAGCTCGCGCTCCGTGCACGGTGCCTACGCTCACCCACCGCTCACCCAGTGCTCACCCATCACTCACCCAGTGCTCACCCAGAGCTCACCCACCACTCACCCAGAGCTCGCGCTCCGTGCACGGTGCCTACGCTCACCCACCGCTCACCCAGTGCTCACCCATCACTCACCCAGTGCTCACCCAGAGCTCACCCACCACTCACCCAGTGCTCACCCATCACTCACCCAGTGCTCACCCAGAGCTCACCCACCACTCACCCAGAGCTCGCGCTCCGTGCACGGTGCCTACGCTCACCCACCGCTCACCCAGTGCTCACCCAGAGCTCACCCAGTGCTCACCCAGAGCTCACCCACCACTCACCCAGAGCTCGCGCTCCGTGCACGGTGCCTACGCTCACCCACCGCTCACCCTGCGCTCACCCTACGCTCACCCAGTGCTCACCCAGAGCTCACCCACCACTCACCCAGAGCTCGCGCTCCGTGCACGGTGCCTACGCTCACCCACCGCTCACCCAGTGCTCACCCATCACTCACCCAGTGCTCACCCAGAGCTCACCCACCACTCACCCAGAGCTCGCGCTCCGTGCACGGTGCCTACGCTCACCCACCGCTCACCCAGTGCTCACCCATCACTCACCCAGTGCTCACCCAGAGCTCACCCACCACTCACCCAGAGCTCGCGCTCCGTGCACGGTGCCTACGCTCACCCACCGCTCACCCAGTGCTCACCCATCACTCACCCAGTGCTCACCCAGAGCTCACCCACCACTCACCCAGAGCTCGCGCTCCGTGCACGGTGCCTACGCTCACCCACCGCTCACCCAGTGCTCACCCATCACTCACCCAGTGCTCACCCAGAGCTCACCCACCACTCACCCAGTGCTCACCCATCACTCACCCAGTGCTCACCCAGAGCTCACCCACCACTCACCCAGAGCTCGCGCTCCGTGCACGGTGCCTACGCTCACCCACCGCTCACCCAGTGCTCACCCAGAGCTCACCCAGTGCTCACCCAGAGCTCACCCACCACTCACCCAGAGCTCGCGCTCCGTGCACGGTGCCTACGCTCACCCACCGCTCACCCAGTGCTCACCCATCACTCACCCAGTGCTCACCCAGAGCTCACCCACCACTCACCCAGAGCTCGCGCTCCGTGCACGGTGCCTACGCTCACCCACCGCTCACCCAGTGCTCACCCATCACTCACCCAGTGCTCACCCAGAGCTCACCCACCACTCACCCAGAGCTCGCGCTCCGTGCACGGTGCCTACGCTCACCCAACGCTCACCCAACACTCACCCAACACTCACCCAACACTCACCCAACACTCACCCAACACTCACCCAACACTCACCCAACACTCACCCAACACTCACCCACCGCTCACCCCACGCTCACCCAACACTCACCCCACGCTCACCCAACGCTCACCCTACACTCACCCAACACTCGCCCAACACTCACCCAACGCTCACCCAACGCTCACCCAACACTCACCCAACGCTCACCCACCACTCACCCACCGCTCACCCAACGCTCACCCAACACTCACCAAACACTCGCCCAACACTCACCCTATACTCACCCAACGCTCACCAAACACTCACCCAACACTCACCCAACACTCACCCACCACTCACCCACCACTCACCCTACACTCACCCAGTGCTCACCAAACACTCACCCAACGCTCACCCAACACTCACCCAACGCTCACCCAACACTCACCCAACACTCACCCAACGCTCACCCACCACTCACCCAACACTCACCCAACGCTCACCCAACACTCACCCAACGCTCACCCAACACTCACCCAACGCTCACCCAACGCTCACCCACCACTCACCCAACACTCACCCAACGCTCACCCACCACTCACCCAACACTCACCCAACGCTCACCCACCACTCACCCAACACTCACCCAACACTCACCCAACGCTCACCCACCACTCACCCACCACTCACCCAACGCTCACCCACCACTCACCCACCGCTCACCCAGCTCACCCAACACTCACCCACCTCACCCAAACCTCACCCATCACTCACCCAACCTCACCATCACTCACCCAACCTCACCCACCTCACCCCACCTCACCCAACACTCACCCACCACTCACCCAACGCTCACCCAACGCTCACCCACCACTCACCCAACACTCACCCAACACTCACCCAACGCTCACCCACCACTCACCCAACACTCACCCAACGCTCACCCACCACTCACCCACCACTCACCCAACGCTCACCCAACACTCACCCACCACTCACCCAACGCTCACCCAACGCTCACCCACCACTCACCCAACGCTCACCCACCACTCACCCAACACTCACCCAACACTCACCCAACGCTCACCCACCACTCACCCAACGCTCACCCAACGCTCACCCACCACTCACCCACCACTCACCCAACACTCACCCACCACTCACCCAACGCTCACCCAACGCTCACCCACCACTCACCCAACGCTCACCCAACGCTCACCCACCACTCACCCAACGCTCACCCAGCCACCGCCAGCGTTGGCTACTGCAGCCCGTGCTGCTCGCAATGGCGACTCGGTGACAAGTGCAGTCACTACAGCCGTGATGGTGGTGATGGTGGTGATGGTGGTGATGGTGGTGATGATGGTGGTGATGGTGGTGATGGTGGTGATGATGATGATGATGGTGGTGATGGTGGTGATGGTGGTGATGGTGATGGTGGTGATGGTGGTGATGGTGGTGATGATGATGATGGTGGTGATGGTGGTGATGGTGGTGGTGGTGGTGGTGGTAGTGATGGTGGTGATGGTGGTGATGGTGGTGATGGTGGTGGTGGTAGTGATGATGGTGATGGTGGTGGTGATGATGTTGATGATGATGGTGATGATGATGGCAGTGATGATGATGGCAGTGGTGATGGTGATGATGATGATGGTGATGATGATGGCGGTGATGATGGTGGTGGTGATGATGGTGATGATGATGGTGGTGATGATGATGATGGCAGTGATGATGATGTTGATGGTGATGATGGTGATGATGATGGTGATGATGATGGCAGTGATGATGATGGCAGTGGTGATGGTGATGATGGTGATGATGATGGTGATGGTGGTGATGATGTTGATGATGTTGACATCACAGAAGCGTGGAAGGCGGTGACTGACGGGGTGGTGATGATGTTGATGGTGATGTTGATGGTGATGATGGTGATGGTGGTAGTGATGATGATGGTGATGATGATGTTGTTGACATCACAGAAGCGTGGAAGGCGGTGACTGACGGGGTGGTGATGATGTTGATGGTGATGTTGATGGTGATGATGGTGATGGTGGTAGTGATGATGATGGTGATGATGTTGATGATAATGTTGATGATGACGATGGTGATGTTGACATCACAGAAGCGTGGAAGGCGGTGACTGACGGGGTTCTGCAGCTCAGGAAGAAGTCTTGGCAGAGGCCGGTCATCTTTGACGGTAAACCACGTGACACGTGTGTGTGTGTGTGTCTGTGTGTGTGTGTGTGTCTGTGTGTGTGTGTCTGTGTGTGTGTGTGTGTGTCTGTGTGTGTGTGTCTGTGTGTGTCACTATGTGTGTCACTGTGTGTGTGTGTCTGTGTGTGTCACTATGTGTGTCACTGTGTGTGTGTGTCTGTGTGTGTGTCACTGTGTGTGTCTGTGTGTGTGTGTCTGTGTGTGTGTTTCTGTGTGTGTCACTATGTGTGTCACTGTGTGTGTGTGTGTGTCTGTGTCACTGTGTGTGTCTGTGTGTGTGTCTGTGTGTGTCTGTGTGTGTCTGTGTGTGTCTGTGTGTGTGTGTCTGTGTGTGTGTCTGTGTGTCTATGTGTGTGTGTGTGTGTCTATGTGTGTGTCATTGTGTGTGTGTCACTGTGTGTCACTATGTGTGTGTGTGTCACTGTGTGTCTGTGTGTGTCTGTGTCTCAAGGTCTGTGTGGGGTGCGCCTGCTGGGTCTGCGCCACGACTCGGTGTGTCTGTGTGTGTGTCACTGTGTGTGTGTGTCTGTGTGTCTATGTCACTGTGTCTATGTCACTGTGTCTATGTGTGTGTGTCACTGTGTGTGTGTCACTGTGTGTGTGTCTATGTGTGTGTGTCTATGTGTCTCTAGGCCTGTGTGGGGTGCGTCTGCTGGGTTTGCGCCACGACTCGGTGTGTCTGTGTGTGTGTCACTGTGTGTGTGTGTCTGTGTGTCTATGTCACTGTGTCTATGTCACTGTGTCTATGTGTGTGTGTCACTGTGTGTGTGTCACTGTGTGTGTGTCTATGTGTGTGTGTGTCTATGTGTGTGTGTGTCTATGTGTCTCTAGGCCTGTGTGGGGTGCGTCTGCTGGGTCTGCGCCACGACTCGGTGTGTCTGTGTGTGTGTCACTGTGTGTGTGTCACTGTGTGTGTGTCACTGTGTGTGTGTCTATGTGTGTGTGTGTCTATGTGTGTGTCTCTAGGCCTGTGTGGGGTGCGTCTGCTGGGTCTGCGCCACGACTCGGTGTGTCTGTGTGTGTGTCACTGTGTGTGTGTCACTGTGTGTGTGTCTATGTGTGTGTGTGTGTCTATGTGTGTGTCTCTAGGCCTGTGTGGGGTGCGTCTGCTGGGTCTGCGCCACGACTCGGTGTGTGTGTGTGTGTGTCACTGTGTGTGTGTCACTGTGTGTGTGTCTATGTGTGTGTGTGTCTATGTGTGTGTCTCTAGGCCTGTGTGGGGTGCGTCTGCTGGGTCTGCGCCACGACTCGGTGTGTCTGTGTGTGTGTCACTGTGTGTGTGTCACTGTGTGTGTGTCACTGTGTGTGTGTCTATGTGTGTGTGTGTCTATGTGTGTGTCTCTAGGCCTGTGTGGGGTGCGTCTGCTGGGTCTGCGCCACGACTCGGTGTGTCTGTGTGTGTGTCACTGTGTGTGTGTCACTGTGTGTGTGTCTATGTGTGTGTGTGTGTGTCTATGTGTGTGTGTGTGTCTATGTGTCTCTAGGCCTGTGTGGGGTGCGTCTGCTGGGTCTGCGCCACGACTCGGTGTGTCTGTGTGTGTGTCACTGTGTGTGTGTGTCTGTGTGTCTATGTCACTGTGTCTATGTCACTGTGTCTATGTGTGTGTGTCACTGTGTGTGTGTCACTGTGTGTGTGTCTATGTGTGTGTGTGTCTATGTGTGTGTGTGTCTATGTGTCTCTAGGCCTGTGTGGGGTGCGTCTGCTGGGTCTGCACCACGACTCGGTGTGTCTGTGTGTGTGTCACTGTGTGTGTGTGTCTGTGTGTCTATGTCACTGTGTCTATGTCACTGTGTCTATGTGTGTGTGTCACTGTGTGTGTGTCTATGTGTGTGTGTGTCTATGTGTCTCTAGGCCTGTGTGGGGTGCGTCTGCTGGGTCTGCGCCACGACTCGGTGTGTCTGTGTGTGTGTCACTGTGTGTGTGTGTCTGTGTGTCTATGTCACTGTGTCTATGTCACTGTGTCTATGTGTGTGTGTCACTGTGTGTGTGTCACTGTGTGTGTGTCTATGTGTGTGTGTGTCTATGTGTGTGTGTGTCTATGTGTCTCTAGGCCTGTGTGGGGTGCGTCTGCTGGGTCTGCGCCACGACTCGGTGTGTCTGTGTGTGTGTCACTGTGTGTGTGTGTCTGTGTGTCTATGTCACTGTGTCTATGTCACTGTGTCTATGTGTGTGTGTCACTGTGTGTGTGTCACTGTGTGTGTGTCTATGTGTGTGTGTGTCTATGTGTCTCTAGGCCTGTGTGTGGTGCGTCTGCTGGGTCTGCACCACGACTCGGTGTGTCTGTGTGTGTGTCACTGTGTGTGTGTGTCTGTGTGTCTATGTCACTGTGTCTATGTCACTGTGTCTATGTGTGTGTGTCACTGTGTGTGTGTCACTGTGTGTGTGTCTATGTGTGTGTGTGTCTATGTGTCTCTAGGCCTGTGTGGGGTGCGTCTGCTGGGTCTGCGCCACGACTCGGTGTGTGTGTGTCACTGTGTGTGTGTCTGTGTGTCTATGTCACTGTGTCTATGTCACTGTGTCTATGTGTGTGTGTCACTGTGTGTGTGTCACTGTGTGTGTGTCTATGTGTGTGTGTGTCTATGTGTCTCTAGGCCTGTGTGGGGTGCGTCTGCTGGGTCTGCGCCACGACTCGGTGTGTCTGTGTGTGTGTCACTGTGTGTGTGTGTCTGTGTGTCTATGTCACTGTGTCTATGTCACTGTGTCTATGTGTGTGTGTCACTGTGTGTGTGTCACTGTGTGTGTGTCTATGTGTGTGTGTGTCTATGTGTCTCTAGGCCTGTGTGGGGTGCGTCTGCTGGGTCTGCGCCACGACTCGGTGTGTCTGTGTGTGTGTCACTGTGTGTGTGTGTCTGTGTGTCTATGTCACTGTGTCTATGTCACTGTGTCTATGTGTGTGTGTCACTGTGTGTGTGTCACTGTGTGTGTGTCTATGTGTGTGTGTGTCTATGTGTGTGTGTGTCTATGTGTCTCTAGGCCTGTGTGGGGTGCGTCTGCTGGGTCTGCGCCACGACTCGGTGTGTCTGTGTGTGTGTCACTGTGTGTGTGTGTCTGTGTGTCTATGTCACTGTGTCTATGTCACTGTGTCTATGTGTGTGTGTCACTGTGTGTGTGTCACTGTGTGTGTGTCTATGTGTGTGTGTGTCTATGTGTCTCTAGCGGTAGTGTAGCGGTTAGCGCGCTGCGCTATGAACCTGGCGACCCGGGTTCGATTCCCGCTCACGGCTAACACCAGTGACGATTATCTGAACCGGTCCTGGGCCTCCCCTAGGTCGACTCAGCCTTAAATGAGTACCTGGTGCGGTGTGTAAACATCGCCACTAGGGAGACAAAGGCGGTCGGGCGTGGTGCTGGCCACCCACCCCCTCGTGTACCGTTCCGGCCTTCATAGGTGCTCGCTAACAGCACTTGCCCCTACAGTCTGTTCAGGCTATACGGGGGATCTTTGTGTCTATGTGTGTGTGTGTGTCTATGTGTGTGTCTCTAGGCCTGTGTGGGGTGCGTCTGCTGGGTCTGCGCCACGACTCGGTCTGCTTTCTGCTGGAGCAGCTTCCCGGCTCGTCTCGCTGCTGCGACCACAAGTTTCGCTTTCACCGCCGCGGCGACGCCAACGCCGCCCTGCCGCTCAACGCCAGCGGCACCGCTCGCACTGAGCCCTTCGCCAGGTGGTGCCAGGCTAGGTGCACGCACTCACACGCACAGACACACACACAGACACACACACGCAGACACACGCACAGAGACACACAGAGACACACACACAGACACACACAGATACACTCAAGCAGACACAGACACACACACACGCAGACACACGCGCGCAGACACACAGACACACAGACACGCACAGACACACACGCACAGACATGCACAGACACACGCACGCAGACACGCACAGACACACGCAGACACACGCACACACGCACGCAGACACACGCACACGCACGCAGACACACGCACACACGCGCAGACACAGAC